CGATGTATTACCATATTAGTTGTATGTTTCTAGTAAATAAAACTCAATTTAAAGGAGCTAAATCGCTAACATTTGGGACCTAGAAATTGACAAAAGTGGGTCGCAACGCATATAATACTGTAATATGAATGTATATAAACTGATTTACATTCAATGGTTTCCATTTTTACTCCAATTTCAAATCAGTTATGTTCGGCGAAATAAGCCAGCAGTCTCAAGCAAGTGCAAATTTCTAGCGTCTGGTTATTCCAGTCTACATACGCCTCGTCCCTCGAGTCTCTTGATACAACTGGGACTGAAGCGCATTATGGTACACGATTCGTGTACCAATGGTAAAATGTTTATTTTGTCTTAAATATTGAATTTCAAAAGCCCATCTTTTTCCGGTAAGATCACAACATGAACGTTGATTTAATTTGACAAATAAATCGTGTTTTCAATGTTGAAGATTTTGGATGATATTGAGTTAGAGACTTAGCTACTTTAAGAATCCACCACCCCACCAAAATGTTTCGTAATGTTTCGCGATCTATTGCTATATTGACTTTGTGTTTCTAGTTAAACATACATTATGCAAGAGTTTAATCTGCCTATTGCAGGTCTTTCTTTAAGCCTGAAATGTTATCTAATTTATTAATTGCACATTAATTAACTAATGTTAATTTTGTGAATGGTAATCAAACGTAATAGTGGATAATCGAGACTTTGGTTTCTTTTTTATCGTACCGACTTTAGTAATGATGATCGAGGCTAGCCTAAAATTCAAAAGCTAATATCTCGGTTCAGAGTGGAGCGATTTGACTACTGAAATTTTTAACATATTCTGTTTTCATTATCTATTTTTTTAACTATTGTAGCGAGAACAGTCAACTCTTTATCCTATCTCCCATAATGCCCCCCCCCCCTCCAAAAATAAATAAATAAATAAATAAATGGGAAAGAAATGAAATGGGGTTAAGGTCCTACTGTTCTGCACCGATTGGGCTAATGGAGGTGGATAAACACAAAATAAATGGGAAAGACATCGACAGGTTATCTAACCATTGTAACGGATTCCAATGCACCTAAAGAGGAGGAAACCATCGCACTTAATTAACACACAACTTGAACAAACTGGAAATAATTTATGTTTTAAATCTGTGAGTGTTGAAACCATCACTCTAAACTCTTCTCCACTGGGAATCAACCTTATTAACTCAACAAATCTTTCATTCAAAATACTGCACACGAGTAATTCAGAAAAAGAATTAATACGTCTAGAAGCTTAGAGAGATTAAGGAAAAGTTTTCGGTATATTTGGAAGAAAATTAACAATATTTCAATTTATATCCTGTGAACCACTTTTCCCAGCTGATGGGTGCGTTATTAAAATTACCATACCAAATTACCATGGAGACCCAAAATTATCCGTAAATAAAGCTGATAATGAAATTTGGTGAAATAGGGGTTAGATCCGCAGCAAAATGCGACTACAGCTTATTACAATTAACAACTATTGGGTCTTTATGTTTTACAGAAGACAATTTAATTTAACATTAAAGCGATAATAGGTTCTTGTAATGAAGTAATAACCAAGACATATTATCAAATCATATATAATTAAAGATCCTCCACCAGGAATTAACTGATCACCTTTTCAACAATGGAAGTTCAGATATTTCCTAGAGATAATTTCTCTACACGATTATGATCGACGAACCATTTGATTAATATACAATTTGTTCTTCTGTTGGCAGTCTCAAGACATCCACTCTGTACATAGGTCATTTTGTGTACGGATTGAGTGGAGTTCAATGTCTCTTCTATAGTGGGATGGGGGTAGGGGTCCGAATGGTTAACGCATGCGCTTTGGATCATAGGGTCTGTCATTTCGTCAAGTGGCGTGGAGAGAGAGATGGGGTTTAACGTCCACTCGACACAAACTAGGTCATTTTCGGGACTAACATATGGTTCAATTTTATTTCCATAATTTGCTTGCGCGTAGGGGTCTTTAGCAGTGGGAGGAAACCGGAGGACCCGGAGAAAACCCACGAGGTTGGACAGGCCACCCTACTCCTTGTCACGTACAACCGGGGATTCGAAGCCACGCCAGTTGACTGAATGACAGACTTTATGATACAGCGCGCACGTGCTAACCATTCAGCCATCCAACCCCCCACGCGCAAGCGGAGTATTGAAAGAAAAATCAACCATATGTTACACCCGAAATGACCTAGTTTATGTCGAGTGGACGGTCTGGTTTGACTGAATTTACTGACCATAAGGCATATTTTGTTTTTGTTGTCCGAGAAAGTTTCCGGAATTGTCCAGAATGGTTTCCCTTTGTCAATTGTACAGGACAGTGGGGCTGGCAACGAAAATCGTCTAGTCGTTCGGATTGTATAGATAAAAACGGAGATCCTGTCTACTCCTTAGCGTACACGTAAAAGAACCCTTGGCAGTTGGAGTTCAGTTGCTGTACAAGCAGAATTTCCCCCACAGAACATTGATTGTATGGCGTATGTCGGTCTTCATTTTCCCGGTTGTAGCCGACAAGTAAGAAGTTATACCCCATTTCAAACATTCGTTCAATTAAGTCGTTCGGATAGGACGAAAAACCAAGGTCCCGTGTATAGATTGACATGCACGTAAAAGAAACCTTGGCAGTTTGAATTCAAAATAAGAGAAGGTCGTATAGCGCTGCTGTCGTTGTTGAGTTAGTTGTATTTTACGTCCGCTTCCACCGAGGTGATATCGCAGACAAGCGCGCTGCTGTCCGAGCTAAATATCCCTTATAGCACACTGCACGGCCGATGCCCGTCTTCATTATCCCAGTCGGTGAAGAAAAGTAGGACAGTAAACCCCATTTCGTTCAATAATGACATTCACCAGCACTCATGCATGAATTTTGCACAAAACTTTGGGTTTAATTTAAATTAGAATAATCGAACAGTCTGGATGATTAATTTAAATATCAAAAAACATTCTATAGAACGCGACACTGTGATTTCTTATAAAAACAAACTCCACTCTATTTTTTTATTTATTTTACAAATCGACATAAAAAGGATAGCAATAGAGATAGATAATTGGTAGACAGATTTTCCACTCGTATAATTCACCAGTTATTGTTGAAAATGGATTTTATATGAAATAATATAACTTTATTGAACTCGTTCATCGCGAGCATATAAGGTACATAATGACAAAAACACTGTCGTGTCACATAACCCATATAATACCTAAATTACATTATTTCGCCGTCTGCTTTATTAGGTTTTTCGCGCCTTTTAGTTTTAGCTATTCGCTCTGTGAGGTGGTAGCTGACTGCATCTATATGTATTTCATGCAAAAACGCGATAAAAAATCACAGACTTCGTATAAGGCATATTAATATAAAATTCATAAAAGTGGCAATGATATTAATTTCAGTAGAAAGCGATATAATACGTTCTTAGCTTGTCATTTAGAATAAAGAGCTAACCGTCATCGCTAGAGATATAATTGTGTTAACGTATTGTCCTAGTGGCGTATGACAAGAGAAAATATCATATTATTCCAATAGCTCATTTTCTAAATTAGATTAAATAACCATATTTGTCTTTGGAGAATGACGGGATACATTAGAATTATTATACATATTAATGGAGAGTTGTGATCTTTTAACTTTTCGTTCCGTATCTCTGTGGCTGCGACGGTCGTGTTTTTGATGCGATTAACACCTTGGTTTAATATCCTTTGAGAAATGTCAAATTTCCACTCGGCTACCAGAAACGACAAACGAAAACATACAAGGACAATAAGGGAAGCGACATACTGACAACTCTGCTAATTTCTAGGGAGCCGTTTCATGTACAAATTGAACAAATGGAAATGAATGCTTGTCCAGGGCTTTGACATCAATTATGATTAAGTTGGCAGTGAGCGGCTAATTTGATATGTTTCTGTTCAAGTTTCCCTGGAGAACGTGTGTTACACGTGTAGTCCTTAATAGTCATTATAAGAATTCTTCCAATATCCTACACAATTTCCATTATATTAATCTTGAACTTCTCATAATGGTAGAGGTGCCCCCACCCCCCGGAAAATAATCCGATTCAGTTGTCATACGAATACAAATATATTCAGTATATGCGATGGAACTCTTCTGAATTTCGAATCTGAACTTAGATAATAGCCATATTTGTTCCCTGAAAATATTTGAATTCAGTTGTAGGAATTCAAGTATTGCGTTATACAGTGGAATTTATCATAATCCGTTTCGGATTTTCGAAACGAAACCCAGGTAGCGGCTAGGGCAAGTAATTCGGCACAGTCTTGGATGGTATCATATATTTACATATGAGCTTAATGTGTAGCTAATATATATCTATCATGATATATTTACTGTTTGTGAATAAATGTCTACCTAATATATAACTGTCATATATATTTACTTGTGGGCAATTGCCTAGCTAATATATACTTGCTATATATTTACTTGCGAATATTGTCTACCTAATATATAATTGTCACATATTTACATATCGTCGGTGAAGTGTCAAAAGGGTGTATCTCGGGAAATTAGTAAAATACACTTTTTTTCATTTTTAAAATCTCCCAATTAATATGCACATTTCTGTCTTAAGCTGTGTATCTCTACGCCAATTAGAACTGTTCTGGGTATCATGTGTCCAAATGTGTCCTAGTGTAGCCGCCAACCATGAACAGACAAACAGGCAAACAAACGACTGTCACAAATATTAGTATAGATTCCAAGTTAGAGACCAATAAACCGTTCACTGAAAGTGGTAGAATGGTGGAAGAATTTCTGTCACAGTGTAAGGAAGCTCGGATCTCAGTGATACGGTCGGTGAAGAGCAGGAAAAAATTCTAGTAAATAAATTTTAACGCGCCCAGGATTAAATCATTATACTTCACGCAGTCTCGGGGATTATTGTTTTTTTGGGTTATCATATATTAACTTATGAGTAATAGTGTCCAGCTATTAAATAAAAATCATATATATACTAAATAATTACCTGAACTCTTGCTTCAGATAGTCCGAGTCTCTGTGACAGTTCTTCTCTCATGAAGGCATCTGGATAATGGGTTTCATCAAATAATCTCTCCAGTTCATTTAACTGCTCTAGGGTGAAATTGGTTCGACTGCGTCTCTGTTTAGTTTTAGGGTGCTCATCATCCTCTCTTCCGTCTTTTATATCTGGAAAATGAATGAATGAATTATGCAAGTCCCTTCTGGAATTGAACTAACATATAAACTTTTTATATCTGTTGTATAATAGTTGGCTACCAATAGTTGAATACCTTTAGTTCTGATTGGGTGGAGGGTGTGTGTGTGTGGGGGGCTATTAGTTTAGATTTCGTATGGTCGTCCAATATGGAATTTATTTACATATATATTCACACCATCGTTAATTTATTGGTTCTAATTAATTTTGTGGACAAGGGAAACATTTTCTTCTTAAACAATACATTAGGTATTTCATATGATGCCGTTAAAGATGCATTATTTAAGAGCTAAATCTGCCTAATGCAGGTCTTTATTTTGGCCTCAAATGTTATATTAATTATTATTTAGACCTTTCTGCACATGACATGCCTATAATCAACCCATTATAGATCATCGGATGGTTGTGTTTTGAACGGATTGAAACACGATCGCCATAAAAATTGTGACTTGTATATTAATAATATAAATTAAAAATGGATAATCGAGACTTTGTTTATTATCGTAACAACGATAGCAATGAAAGTCGAGAGTACGCTATTCCTCCACCCAGAAAAACGTAATTTGATTAAAACATTTGATATAATTCCTTTTTATTATCTATTTATTAACTTTTATCGCGAGAACTGTCAGCTCATTATCTAAATCTTACATAATGCATCTTTAATGATGAAATACCGGTATACCCCCCCCCCTCTCTCTCTCTCTCACGGAAAACAGAGAGTGACTAAAGAGAGGCGAAATGACGGATCAGTTAGTGAAACTATGGGGTAATTAACGTAATGATAATAGCCACAGCCGATCATTGAATTAAAAGTAGCAAATTGTAAGCTGACTATCTCGAACCCCGGTAGAAAATTACTGGGGAAAATTTCTGTTCTAGACTCTTATCATTTCTCCCTAGTAGTAAATTACCCCCTTTCTCTTTATATTAACCTCACTATAGCCTACCCCTTAATTTAACCCTTCATCTCTCACTCGACTAACTAGCAACCTTGTCGTTTAATTGAACTCCAGTCTAAAGAGTTAATGACTGTGTAATTTGAATTATATCGTTGACTGTAGTATGCTCTTTATTATACGCCGATTGATCGGGCGTCATGTAACTGATCATAGCATATTACAGTGAGCAATGATAGTTCTGATCTTAGTCAATTTTCAAATATAATTTTTTTCTTGAAATACAAAGATAAAGTAAAAACCATTTGCTATTTAAATATCATATCCAGATTTTTTTCAATTTTTAGATATAATTATTTTTCTTTTAAATACAAAGATATAGTAAAAACCATACTGCATTTAGATATAATATCCAGATAGTTTATTTACTGTGGAGTGGAATTTAAGGCGAGGAGAAATCAGTTTCGGAATCGTATTTATTTTTTTTATCTATTTATTTTCCTTTAATTTTTAAATTGTTTTAATCTTTAAATTACCTTTTCGATCAAATTATTTAATCATATTTTAAAAGTTGTTTAATAATATTTTTTTTAAAAATTATTTCGGCTTTTTTTTTAAATACTTAGTTAAATAATTTTTTTCCTGGTTTAGTCTAGTACCCTCAGGTCTAACTCACAAATCCGGGGCCTCCAAGCTTTATATAACCTTGTTCCTTATTTCATCTGTGCGGGATATCAAAATGTTTAAAGCCTTCATATTTCTTATTTACATAGAAATGTAATATATATTAAACAGGCATTATGTAAGAGCTCAATCTGCCCATTGTAAGTATTTCTTGTTGCCTTAAATGTTATATAAATTATAAATTAGACATTTATTAATATGACAAGACCATAATCAACCCTCGATGCCATCGGACGGCTCCGATTCTAAGTAGATTAGAACGGTTCGGTCATTTAATGATTTAATTTAAATATGGAGAAGCTAGGCTAAGACTTGAATGACCAGTACGATGATTACGATCAATGCACACATCTTGTCAAAATACAACTATTGATAACTTCGCTCAATATAAGGTAATTTGAATGACATATTTCAATATATTCATTTTGCATTATCTATTTTTGAAATATTATAGCGAGAACGACCAGCTCTTTATCTAAATCTTACATAATGCCCCTTTAATATTAAATGGTTCTCTTTGATTGACTTTTTCACAAGTGTTTCGGCGTTCTCTTTGGCTGTTTGTTGTTTTGTTTTGGGGTGGGGTAATAGAAAGTCCCGTTTGTTACCACATTATATCTATGAGTGACCATTTGTAAACACCTATCATTCCATTGTCGTACTCCATGTTGCCCTAAACATTATTATGAATATTTGGTATTTGAATATTAGACTAAATGAACACAGTAAACGCTGTGTCATCCGTTTAAATCTTTTAACTCCATGAAGCGTGCATTAACGCCATTTAACGTTATTTTATGGCATTTACGTTATTTACAATTAGGCTATTTGACGCCATGTAACGTTCCTGCACGCCATTAAACGTTATTCCAAAGTATTTAATGCAATTAAACGTTATCCATCGCCATTGAAGTAACAATATTGTTATTCATCTATAATAAAATGAAATGGGGTTTAACATCCTACTGTTCTGCTCCAACCACGTCCTATCTTTGCGTGGATTTAAAACATTCTATATTAAGGCCATCAATACAACGTTATGGAATCTTGAAAACCTGAACTTCTTAAATGGTCATGTTTTAACTTGTAATTTCATTATATACTTTTTCCTTCGAGACTTTTAACTTCTGTTGTCATGTTAAATGTAAACATGGCGCGTTGAATGTTAACATGGACAATAGTTGTGAATAGTTCAATGTCTAATATACAAACTATTCATATTTACCTTTATTTGTTTAATCAAACAAGCAACAACAATCATGACTCACAAAAAAACACTAAAAAATCAATGCAATTAAAAAAAAAAAAACCCCCCCCCCCCCAAAAAAAAATAAAAAATATAAAAATATAAAAACGAAATGAAAAATCAAATAAATTGAAAAATCAAATAAATTGAAAATGAGAATTCTGCTAACGTTTCGTTTCGCGTTAAATTTCTGGTGTTGGCAATCAACCGAATAAATCGAACGAACATAACATGATTTTAAAAAGATTGTACTGAAAATATAGCATATATTATGATACTTAAAGGAGGTGAAATGAAATGAAATGGGGGTTGACTGATCTAATAAACACAGAGATTTAGACTATACCTAAAATGATATGGGTCTCTTTGGTTTGGATTATAATGTACTGTTGACGTTTTGATTGATACAATGTAAATTGTTTGTTTTTTAATGTCAGTTATTGATTAATAGAATTAAAACATTAATGTAGAGTTAGATACCCATCTTGTCAAATCGATTAACACTCCCACGTCATAATTGTTATACGTCTACATTTTAAAGTGGACATATTATGCCGTCGCCCCTTGATATGCATGTTTTTAACCAAAAGATCTTGGGGATCACGATGGCTAGTGGGTAAGACGCTGGCTCGCTAGCCTGGAGGTCGGGTGTTCGATCCCTACATTGGTCGAGAAAGTTCACCCAGATTTTCCGGCGTGGCTTCCCCTTGTCAGTGATGCAGGACGGAGGGCCTGACAAGGACAGCTGTCTAGTCGTTCGGATAGGACGAAAAACCGAGGTCCCGTGTACACATTGGCGTGCGCGTAAAAGATCCATTGGCAGTTGGAATTCGATATAAGAATAGGCCGTAGCGCCGCTGCCCGGACAAAATTTCCCTCATAGCACACTGTATGGCGTATGCCCGTCTTCATTAGCCCAGTTTAGGAGCATTTCCTAAGCATTTGGAGCTTTTCATTTCCAAAAGATCTTGGTTTCTTCGATATGCGCGCATATCGGATCGTAACTTCCTGAATTATGGTCACTGATTGTACGAAAAATCGCGTTTTAAGCTTGTGGTCCCTCTAGAGGTCACAATTACTATCCGATTTAAAAAAAACGTTCGAATATATCACCGTTACACAATAATGTAAATCGGACCAAAATTGTCGGACAAAATGGTCGCCCCTCCTAAATATTGTAAAAATATGGTATATCCGATTTAGATGAAACTTTAAATTTATCTTTATATTACAAAGATCTCGGTTCCTTTCGATAATCGCCCATATCCGAACGTAACTCCCTGGATTATGGCCCCCGACTGTTCGAAAAATCGCATTTTTAGCTTGTGGATCAGCAAGAAATCACAATTTGTATTCAGTTTAAAAAAAAGAATGTTTAAATATATCACCGTTACACCACCATAATGTAGGCTGAGTTCAAATTTCGTGAAAATTGGCCCAAAACTGCCAGACAAAATGGCCGCCCATCGTACTCAAATTACTATAAAATTAATGTATAACAAGTTTGTGGACCCACAATTTTTATTCAATTTTGATGAAATTTGAAATAAATCTTTATACCCCAAAGATCTTGGTTCCTTTTGATATTGTATTGTAACTTCCTGAATTATGGCCCCTGATTGTACGAAAAATATAATATACTACCTAAAATAATTGGGGTATAGTAATAATAAGCAGAAACTAATTATGGTATTAGAGCGGTTATACATATAATATAATAAACAGAAACTAATTAGGGTATTAGAGGGGCCATACATAGAATATAATATTATACCTTAACTTATTATGGTATACATTCGAGGGGTTTACACAAGACTATAATATTATACATAAACTAATTAGGGTATTAGAGGGGTTTTACATAGAATAATAATAATAAACAGAAACTAATTAGGGTATTAGAGGGGTTTTACATAGAATAATAATAAACAGAAACTAATTAGGGTATTAGAGGGTTTTTTGTGTCTATTTTTAACTTTTCAGAGTTTAATGTTTTTGTGTCTGCTTGTGTCCGTGAAACTGTATTTAACATTTCAGAGTTAATTGTTTTTCAATTTGTGTCTTTTGTATGTTTTTTTTTTATATTTCAGAGATTTGTTTAGGTTTTGTGTCTATTTTTAATATTTCAGAGTTTAATGGGGTTTCTCTATTTCAGAGTTTAATGGGGTTTCTCTATTTCAGAGTTTAATGCATTTAAAAAATATTATGGAATTATAATTTACTGCATAGTACGTCGTAATGAAAAATGGTTGTCGTTTCGCCTAAATATATAATATTACATCTTTAGTATTCTGATAACTGGCTTGGGTTTGGCCGTATCTATTCCACATTTAGATTGTACAATTTAAAAGCATAAAGAGTAGAGTACAAAAACAAATAAAGCAGGATTATATTAATTTGAATCCTTGTGGGTAGGGTGTATAATATATGTATAACTTACAGTAATATTTGATACAGACCGAGCAGTATTATATAATTTTAGTTATGGTATAAATCACTAATATGCAAGAGCGGATTAAGTTGGCATGGGGTCCCTGGCTGAAAATGTCACTAGGACCCTTGCTTCCACAGTGAAAAGGGAGCATATTCTGGGAATGTCCGCCACACCCACACAAATGTAACATGTACATGTGTGTTAGTATGGTAGATAGATTGATTTATGAAAGCAGGGTATCCGAATATATATAAGGGAAGTTGTGAATTAACAATCAAATTGTTGATAAAATTCACACAAAACAATCACGTCCAGAAGACGCTAACAGTGGGTAATGTCATCTAATGGATTATCCACCTCAAATGATAAGGAGGAGCCACGGTGGCTCAGTGATTAGATAGTTGGCTCTTTAACCTGGAAGTCCCGTGTTTGATCTCTGTGTGGTTTCCCCTTGTCAGTGGTGCAGGACGGATGGGACAAAGAACCGAGGTCCCGTTTACACATTGGCGTACACGTAAAAGATCCCTTGACAGTTGGAATTCGAAATAAAGTGTTGGTCGTAGAATGCTTTCCCAAATAGCACACTGTATGGCGTATGCCCGTCTTCATTAGCCCAGTCGGAGCAGAACAGCGGGACGTTAAACCCCATTTTTTTTTTCAAATGCTAAGTGATATCAGGTGTTTCAGAAATGTAAGCATTTATAAACAAGAAATATAGCCACTTGAATACAAATTGTGGGATCCGGTTTTTTGTTGTTTTTTTGTATAAATATTCCTTAGACAGTATGTTCTGTAATGACGTTATATGTTTAAATAATCCGTCTAAAATGTTAATTATGTTAATACCTGTTAAATGAAATATATCTTTAAATAACGTTAATGTTTGTTAAATCCCTCTAGGATTCCCTCTTCCAAACCTTAAGAGAAGGTTCATAATTTTTATAAATTTTCCTAAGCCCTTTGTAAATTATTTTCAATAAAATATTTTTAACCAAATAATATGTCTAAACTATCAATAACGGTAATACCTGTTAAATAATATGTCTAAACAATTAATAACGTTAATATGTCTAAGTTATTTAAATATCGTTATATTAATATATGTTAAATTAAGCGTCTAACTATTAATTACTTTAATATCTGTTAAATAACCTGTCTAAACTATTAATAACGTTAATATGTCTAAGCTATCAATATCGTTAATATATGTTGAATAACCCGTCTAACTATTAATTACGTTAACATCTGTGAAATAGTTATTTCTAAACTATAAATAACGTAATGTATGTTAAATAACCTGCCTAAACTATTATTAACGTCTAAACTATTCGACATAATATTAATGCCTGTTAAATAATATCTCTAAAATTTTAAGAAAAAAAAAATTAAATTCAGAAAAGGCGAATAATAATGTTTTGAATTTCAGATAATTTTTTAAAAGACCAAACTTAAATTGTCGTTTTGAAATAGACGTCACATACGACGTCATTACTCATACTACTCATACGTTAAATAAGCAATCGTGTGGTCCACATATTTCAAAACATCGAAACCTAATGTGTTGCGGTCTGTTGATCAGCATAAAATATATGGTGTGTAATAAATATAAGAGGCCACCTGGTACCCCACCACCACGCAAGGGAAATAATACAAAACAAGACTAGCCTAACCACAAAACATCTTTCATATATTAAAAACCAAGAGAGACTAACACCTCACTAACTACAAATAATGCTTGATGTATTCAGAACCAGAACCATTCCTGGATTCAGCTATTTTATTTAAATTGTTTCAGTGGAATTTAGCAATTGACATGGAATATACAGGTCACAATTCTGTGGAATACAATTACTGCTTATTACTACACAACGTTTAGTCTAGGCTTCTCTTCTCATTATCAAGCAATGATAAAATATAAAATATAATATATTGTCTCGTTATATTTTATATTTTATCATTGCTTGATAAAGACTAGAGAAGCCTAGTCAGAACGTCGCTCATTAGTAAGCAGTAATTGTATTCCATAGAATTCTGACCTGTATATTTTATTTAAATATACATGTAATAAACAATTTAACCATTTTATTACGGAAATATATATTAAGTCTCACCCGAACGCCATTTTTTTCTATAAAGGGAATATATTAGTTAAGCGAAATCCTTAAATAAATAAATAAATAAATAAATAAACACAATATACTATAGAAGCGGGGCATGATTTCAATAACGAGAAGCTGTATATGTTGGGTTTTACAATTCATTATGTTTGATCTTATTTTAATTTGTATGTTTATATTATATTGTTTTTACTATTTTCTGTTTCCCTAGGTCTTGTTTGTTGCTGAATCCCTTTCAAGGGAATATTATCCTTAAATGACATTTCGAAGTAGAGATATATCCATAAAGTTGTGTTATTATGAACAAAATATTGTATAAACTAAACTAACAAGAAGGTAA